AACCAGGGACCTCCTGTCTTGGGCTGCAGTGCACTTACCAGTCTAGCTACGAAAGTTTGTTGGATAGGTGATACTCGCAACCCTATTTAATAAGGGAAAATAGGAAAAAATACCCTTTAATTAATCACTTCTTGTATGCTAAATCATATCCTAAACGACTTTCTTTACCAGTATGGAGGGAGTATTTATGTAAGTTTCGAACCTTTTAAATGTATTATCGTGATTTGGTTAATTTATAGCTATGTTTGTCAAACTTTTTGTTTGGATTTTATAGTATTACACATGATTTTTTTACTAGGACTACCCTGGTCTCAAATCCTGGGTCCGCCACTGGTTCAAGGTGGTTATTTCTAACCCCACGACGTGGGACGTTAAGTGTGTGACCAAAGGTTGTACTTGGCGTGTTCATGGTCATATGCCACGTACGGAAACCAACTTTATCACCACTATTGTTCAACCACACAGTTGCTTGCTGCAGACAACGTTGATGAAGCATAAGAACATGACAACGGAATTCATGGCCAATGTAATGTATGGCGAGATAGTTGAAAAAGTTGGCATGTCTCCATTTTGGATAATGCTTGCTATTCAGAACAGATATGGCTATGAGATGTCTTATGACATGGCTTGGAGAGCAAAACAGCTGGCCTTGGAGAAGAGGTTGGTAATTACAAGGACTCATATCACCACCTGCCAACTCTTCTAGCAACCATTCAAGCCGTAAACCCCTAGGATCAGAATTGATATTGATGACTACATCAACGGGAAGGAGACCGTCTCTGAAATGAGCTTTTTGGTCTCTAGGGTGCATGATCTGAGGCCTTCAAGCATTCTTGACTGACCGCTTTCTGTGTGGATGGCACTTTCTTGACTAGACAGTACAGAGGTACATTGCTAACAGCCATAGGGGTTGACGGCAACAACCAGGTTGTGCCTATTGCTTTTGCCCTGGTTGAATCGGAGAACAGCGACAGCTGGTTGTGGTTCCTAAAGTTGATTAAACGAGCTCTCGTGGAAGATAGGGAGAATGCTTGTGTCCTGGATGATCATAATGCAGGTTTATTGAATGCAGTGGATAAATTGAAGAATGGTAGGGATCTAGAGGTCCAATGGCTAGATATACAAAGTCGTTGGTGCATGAGGCATCTAGGTAGTAATTTCTACAAGCAGTTCAAGAGCAAGCGCCTGATGGACCTGTTCAAAAGGCTATGCAAGCAGAACCAGAGAAAGAAATTCAATTTCCTTTGGCAAAGGTTAGACGAGCTGACCACAAGCCACATGAATGAAGTGCGTCGTCAACCTGTTGTGGCACGAGAGGAGCCGCAAGGCCTTACTCCCGATCCTAATGAGGCTAGAAGCAAGACTTGCCGACGTAAGGGGGGCAGGTCTTTAAAGTGCTTCTCATATTGGATTAAAGAGGAGCCCATCGAGAAGTGGTCGTTGTTGCATGATACCTATGGTGCACGCTACGACATAATGACAACAAATCTAGCTGAGGTTTACAACTGGGTGCTCAAAGGTACACATTCGCTTCCTTGGTTGCAATTGTGGAGGGTATCCTGCGGGGCACAATGTTGTATCTGCGAGAGCGTTGTCAAGCGACAGCGGCTGTTGTTCAGAATCCATAGATGACATATTCTTGGAAGATTTCTGCATACATCGAAGAGAAGAGTGCCAAAGGGTCCCTGCATAGGGTGTTTCCTGTTGGCAACCAGGACCTTGTGTACGAAGTCATGCTGCGTGACAAGGGCGGACTTGGCACTAGTCCAAACGATATAACTATGGAGTGTCAGTTATGGCCAGAGGTTAACAAGTGCGAGTGCACATGCAACAAGCCCAAGTTCTACCATATTCCATGCTCCCGTGTGCTTGCTACATGTGGCCGATGACTTTTGTGTCGGATTATTTCAAAAAGGAAGTAGTATTTAACACATGGTGTGGTGAGCTTCGAGGTTGGAGGGTCGTTGCTGATTTCACTAAGGCAGTTAATGACTCAGACCGTTATTGGTCTCCTAATGCAGAACAAAGGGTGGACACAAAGGGACGTTGCAAGAGTCGACGTATTAGGAATGACATGGATGCTTCCGAGGCTTCAGACAAGTGTCCCTTCTGCCTCGCTTGTGGTGGAAATCATCTTAGGAATGCGTACCCCACAAATAGGCTACCAGATGGAACGGAAGTGCGGCGTATTCCAAAACGCAACTCGAGGCAGGCCGCTCAACAAGGCCCTAGCGCATATCATTGTATGTACTGTTATGAGTTTCCAACTAAATTCGCATTACTTATTCATATGTTATTGTATTTTGAAACATGACTTGGTTTTGTAGGATGGCGGGCATGGAGCTTATCGACCCTGTTGTCGACCAGAGGCACCGCTCCAACTTGGAAGATGGGCAGCTTCCACCAGCCCTCCGTCTTTGTACCCACGACGAGTTGTGGATACTTGATCATCGTTGGGTTCCACGGTATGTGTATTTTGTACCTTGTATGTTTGTGCCTTTCGTGTTGAAATTCGGTAATTAATATTCTTTCTTTAAAACAGGCTACGTGCTGCTGGTTTACTTCCATTCGCACGCCTGGTTGAGCGACACCGGCATAGGAGTTCGCGTTTATTCGATCGACCTTGCACTCCTCTCTGCTTGGGTTGACCGCTGGAGACCGAAGACGCACACGTTCCACCTACCTGTAGGTGAGGTCACCGTGACTCTGCAGGACGTCGCCATGCTGTTCGGTCTACCTCTCGCCGGTGCCCCTGTCGGCCCTGTAGTAGTGCCAGTGGATTGGGAGGAGCAGGTCCTGCACCGTTTTCAGGGCGTGTTGCAGGTGGGGGACGGAGAGGATGAGCAGTTCGGCTTCCACGACCGCCACGGCCCTCTGAAGGCGTGGTTGTCTCAGTTTTGTGCGGAGAGGCTCACGGAGGACAAGGACGAGTGGAGGGTCATGCGACACTTGGAGGCGTACCTGTTGTGGCTGTTCGGCTGGGTACTCTTCACCAGTTCTCACGACACCGTCAACAAGCACTTTGTCCACTACGCGGTGCAGATAGCGTACTCACCACTTGAGGCGATTCCGCAGCATAGTTGGGGATCAGCGGTGCTTGCAGCTACGTACCGGGCTTTGTGCGACGCTTGCACTCGCAGGACTAGGACAGGTACATTGGCTGGTTGTCCGTTGTTGGTGATGTTGTGGTCGTTCGGGCGGTTCGATATTGGGAGGCCGACCCTTGCCTCGTACGAGGCGTACGAGGATCTCCACTACGCTTTCGACGAGGTTGGTGTGCCCGACGAGCTCGATGCCCCCGACGATGGGCACACTCTGGGTGTCTCGCGACGTAAGTATTTTGTCTATACTATTTGCTCACTTATGTTCCAATTCTACTTTCATTGTTGACCAAGTTTGTTCTTTGCAGCCGAGGTGGGCAACAGGCACGGGTAGAGGCACGTACAATGCGTTCGTCGCTGCGTTGGACCAGCTCACACCTGACAGGGTTCGGTGGACCCCGTACACAGGCATGAACATACACTCCCGTGCTCCGCGTGGCTTGTCGGAGATGTGCTACCGTGACCATGAGCTGTGGTGTGACCATGAGCTGTGGTGCACGAGGAAACGGCTGTTGTTGGACACCTTCGTCAAGCTTACCCTACGTCGCAGGTTCGTCCGAGGGTACGCAGCCTACAGAGTCGACCGAGGGTACGCTGCAGGGGTCTTGTGTTACCCAATGTTTAAAATCAGAATGAAAAAGGCAACAGTGAAGCCATTGCAAATCTTTCATCAAGCACACAACAGATCTCAAAGTAAAAAGATATAAAGGATATTGCAGTACTAGCAAGTGGCAAACATGTTTGCTAATTCTACATGTAAGAGAAATACATGGTAAAATGTGGATGCAGTGCAGGACAGGACATATTCCAGAAAATACTTCACACATCCTACTCCGATAGCACAGATGTGCCAACGCTTTATCCAACGCAACATGTGACATTTACCATGCCTGAGATTAATGATTGATGGCACAGTAAAACAAACTGAAGACTATAACTCTCACCACATAGCATAACTTTTTGTATGAGGCAGCTGAATACATGTTATTAAAACTGAATGAGAGACAGGTATATATCTGCTATCATAAATCAGGCACAACACCAGAATGATTGAACTGATGATTCTAGAAAAAATATTACTTTTGTACATAATATAGAAGTTCAGTTCAGAATATCACAATGTAGATAACTGATGCAGATCGCAGCAGCATCCAGAAACTAAATGGAAAATGATAACTAGAAATTATTCTGGAAACCCCACAAGTTTACAACTTCCGGAGGTCTGGTATTCATCAGTTCAGTTATAAGCACCTGGTATACGCTGATGCTTATATAAATGCATAACAAGAATGCAATTGCTCAGACAAGAAAGACGATCCCTTTGTTTGCACAATTAGATGTTTTAGAACTGGAAATTTAGAATCCAAATTGGATTTCCAGAGCTGTGGTATACCTCATTTCAGGAATAAACCTGGTATCAGAATTTTAGAAAGTAGTATTCAGGATTATACAATGCCAAGCGTAAACATTCATCTAGAGCAAAGGGAATTAGATTATCAGTCACGAGAATTTAACTTATACTAGTCAGCTCCTAAGATAATGAACGCCGATACAAACCAAACCGTAAGTTTGCAAAGGGGTTCCCTAACACTGACAAATATGAATACAGGTGAACAAGCAACTAATATAGATACAGCATAGCAGTGCAACATACCAGCATCTGTATTTTCTTATTTATTTTCTTTTCTCAGATACTGGATGAACACACCATCCGAGCAAGAAAGCATATATAGAAGCAGACGTTTCTGAGATTGAGGACGGCGTCTGGTGCTGCACCTTCTCCAATCGCTGGATGTCTCTCGGATAAGCTAGCGCCATGGCAAAGGCCCCAGATTTCTTCCGGTTTCTGATGACACCAATAGAAAGGCCTCAGCTTTGAGGGACCCTGAGGTAGCCGAGATGGTAGAAGCCGTCCTCTTCCCTGAGTCGCCCCTCCCCGACGAGCGCACCGGTGCTCTGTTCCTTGACGCTACAAGAGTCGCTGCCGAAGGTGATGACGAGGCCCTGCCGCGCGAGCTGGCGCACGGAGATGACGGCAGTGCACCCGTTCTTGAGTTGAGGGGCGTGATGGACTTGGGGCACCATGAACCGCGGCCTTCGTACGCAGCCCACGGCGAGGACCGGCAGGATTCCGCCGACGCGCGTGCGCACAATGGTCCCTTCGTCGGGTGGCTTTGGATCGGAGAGCAGATCCGCGCGGGCCGTGGCGTGCACGGCGGCGCCGGAGTCGAGGACGAAGTCGTCGCTGCTGTCTTCAGGCGCTGAGCACTCGGTCGACGATTCCCGATCGGAGGAGCGTGGCGGAGTCCCTTGCGTTTCGCTTGGATGCACATCAACGGAGAATCAAGTCAGGTCATTGCACGGTGAACCCCAATTGGGTAAAAAAATTTCAGGGAGGTGAGCGGTGCGGCGGAAGTACCTGGAGGGAGAAGGATCTGCAGCGGCGTCGATCCTCGGCGGTGCCGTGGACAAGTCAGGCATGAGGTTGTCGGGTCGAGGAGGCGCGGCGGGGCAAGACGGAGGCGGCGGCGGCATCTCTCCTACCTAGCCGCTTCTTCTTCTTGGATGGATGGAGGAGGTGAGATGGACGCGGGGGCAATCCAGTAATTAGCGGCGATTACCCAGCCGAAGTCGTCACTGCATCCCGGGCCCACTGATTGCGTCGTCACCTTGCAATTCAAAATGCCAACGTGACTGGTGTGTGCTGCGGGCCAAATAATTTTTAGTGAAATTGACGTTAATGTTTTGTGCTTGTACGGTACCAACGCTGTTGAACTTGACAACTCTAGCTGCCGACCCCAACGCTCTAGAAAACATGATATTCGTTTGTTGAGATTTGAAAACAAAGTATATCTGTATACGTCAATGCGAAAAATGACTAACTAGTAAATATTTATCGTTTTGCCGTACGTTGTGATCGGATGTGGCCTAGCATTCAATGACACAGTGTTTATACTGGTTTAGACAACGAGCCCTATGTCCAGTCTGAGTCGGTCGATGACTTTATTCTTAAGTCCAGGTGCTCGAAGTTTGCTGTGGGGTTACAAACGAGAGGGAGTAAGATTGGGGTGTAAGAGATCCGGTCGGACTCTGAACCGAAGGGCCGAGAGTGACGGAAGCTCCTACATGCGCTAAGTATTCGAGCGTGTGCTCTATGTGGCTTTGGAATGTCCAAAGCTAGCAGAGAGTGAGTCGGAATAATCCATTTGTTGTTCGTTGGAATCGTCTATGTGAATCGATCGTCCTTCTTTTGGAGAGAGCGCATCCCTTTTATAGATGAAGGGGATGGCTTTACAAGAGATAGAGTGTGAGAGAAAGAGAGTGTGTGCGCTACCTAGTCTTGTTGCCCACGCCATCGGGTACAAGGTGGTTTGTCGACGCCCACAATACTGTTGATGGCTGGATGCATGTGGTTGGTTCCACCGTGTTCTTCTGGTATGGCAAATGCCGATGCCTACTATATTGTAGGTCAAATGTCGACGTCCACAACACTGTTGGTGTTCTGACATGTCTGGAAGGTTATAAAGTACCCTTCTGACATGACCTGATAGTACTATCCTGTCAGGTGTGCAGGGTACGGTCCATGGTATTATGGTTTGACTTCAGCGCCCTGCCTTACTTGCTCCGCCTGATGACTTGGGTCCTTACCGAGTGGGCGTCCCCGTTCGGTCGTTTTCAATCGGCTCCGACCGAGCCGGTCGGAGAAGAGCTGTAAGCAGAGGTTTAGTGTACTCTCGGTTGGAGAGCGGGTCGGAGTCGGAAGCGAGCGTCGTCCCTTCTTGGGTAGGCCTTCTGGTCGAAGAGGAGGCCTGAGGTTGGAACAAGCGTCGTCCCTTTTGGGCAGGCCTTCTGGTCGGAGAGGCGGGCTGGAGTCGGAAGCGAGACTAGATCGCCCTTCAGGGCTGTCGTTAGGTATTTGGGCCAGCCTAGGAGTTGCGCGTCGTTCGCAACGTCGTCTGCTGGGCTGAACTTTTGCTGAGAAGCAGGTCCATTAGAGATCCCGGGTTTATGAACCCGACAGGAGCCCCAGAGCCCTCGGGTGATTTGGGTAGAATCGTCTAGAGGATTTTTTGTTTTTGACAGCGGGTGCGCGCGAGCGCACCCGCGGTTGTAGGCCCCGAGCGATTCGGGTTTGAATCGTCTGGGTTTTTTTTGTTTTGTCAACGGGGGAATTTTCGTCTTGACAGCGGGTGTAGCCCCCGAGCCTATGTTCGACTGGTGAGTCGGTTGGAGGCTGAGCATCTTGGTACTCTTTCCTAGGGCCATAGACTGCCGTTCGAGGTGTTCGCCCGTGTGTGTCCCGCCCGCGACCTGCGCGGTCGGTTGATTTCCCAAGTCAGTGTCGGGCGACCTGAGCCCCTGAGCCTCATTGGGCTTGGTAGGGGTTGGTCTAGTTCCGTGCATTATCTCGTTCGCGGTTTCCACAATCGGAGGGGCTGAGCTAACGTCGCTTGCCTCGATGGCTCGAGTGACGCGCTCGGTGAGCTTGCTAACGGGTACGTTAGAGTGGAATCCGGGTCCATCGTTCGTGATGGGGTCGGCATAGCCCTCATGTGGCATTCCACTGCTCCTTAACTCGTGTCCCAACAGATGCTCGGGTCATTCCGGAGACCAACGCAGGTGGCCCGCTGGCCTCCCCTTGATGGAGATTCTGTGGGCATGGCTCGAGGTTAGGATCGAACGAGAAGATTCAGATGACCCTGTCTGCTTTCGAGCAGATTGGGCGAGGGCTGCTGGGGCTCATCTGCATTTTCTCCCCTGGCTCTGTTTGACACGAGGTAACCTCATGCCCTTCACGGGCCGGCCTTCAAACCCCGGTCGGTCGTTGCTCATGTTGAATGAGGCAACTACCACTTTGTGACGCAACACGGAGTGTTGTGATGCATTTAATTGCATATGTGATGCTTCGGATGTATGGATGAATGAATGACTATATGAATGAATGTGTGAATGCGTGTATGAGAATGGATGAATGAATGATCATGCATTAGAAAAATAAAGTAAGAGGGATTGGTAGAGTTACCTTGATGACTTGAGTGACAGGCTTGAGGAGTTCTTATCGGATATGTCCGAATGGGATCCGTGCTCATCGTTCATGACGGAGTCGGCATGGCCCACATGGGGCGTCCCTCTGCTCCTTACATGTCTCTCAGCATTTGCCTGAGCCGTCCGATCGACTCAGGAAGCCCGTTGATCTCTCCTTGGCGGAGATCCCATCATTGGGCCCTTCTAGGTCTAGCCTGGGAGGGAGGAGGGCCGCCTGCGTGCGGTTGCGCCTTGTTTCCCACGCCCGGCATACGGTAGTGGTGGGCCATGCCTAGGCCACGTCCTGTCTAACCAGGCATCGTCTCGTCGGGCAGGGCGCATCCCATCGGTCAGGACGCGTCCCATCATGTTCCCATCTGCATTGAATAGGGGAAGGGAGAGGGTTTTTTGCCCCAACCCTTCGCCTTTCTCTAACTGTTGCGTCACATCCTTAAATAGGGGAAGGGAGAGGGTATTCGTCCCGTTCCTTCACCTATTCTCCACTGTTGCCCCTCCTCCTTCCTCCTCGCCAAGTGCGTTCGTGTGCCGCGGTGGTTCCTAAGTCAGAGAGGGTAAAGCGAGGGAGAGGAGAACTCACAGATCTGTTTCATGAATCCGGAGCGCAATGTCAAGCTGGAGGCCATCGAACTTAGATGAGACGGTGCTAGCCGCCTTCGCTGAGAAGGGGCTGCTCCCGTCGAAGGAGGTGGCGCACTGGAGGGCCCCTGCGGGGGAGGCTTTTCCACGACCTTAGGCCGGCGAGGTCGTCTCCTTCCTCGCCTTCCACGAGCGTGGGCTAGGATACCCCGCGCATTGGTTCTGCCGGGCTCCTCAATGAGTGGGGCCTGGAGCTGCGGCACCTCAATCCGACTAGGGTGCTGCACATTGTCGGCTTCGTCACCGTCTGCGAGGCCTTCCCTCGGGATAGAGCGGCACGTGGACCTCTTTTGACGGATCTTCACCGGACGAGCCTTGTCGGAGGAGAAGCCAGCCAAGACCACGCGGGTTGGGGGCTTTGCCCTACAGATGAAGCCTAGCGTGTCGGGCTCCTACCCCACGTACACCCCTGTGATTCTAATCGGGGGTGGCATGGGGAATGGTTCTACATCAGGAACCCCATGGAGGTGCCATTCCCGCCGTTCACCGGTAGAAGGCCAGAGAGGCGGGAGAGCTGGTCGTGGGGCCCCTCTAGCCGGCAGAATAAGCTAGGGATCATTGAGGCGGAGCTCCATAAGCTATTGTAGCACGACCTCGACTGGCAGAAAGGAGGCGGCCGATGTGGCTGTACTCTGGCCCGACGGAACCCGACCGCGCTGCAACTGAAGGCCCGGGAGACCCTCGAAGGAAAGCCCAGACCTCTCCACGCCGGGAAGCTGCCCAATCTGTTCGTTCTCCTCTCCTTATTTTGTGTCCCTTTCGATCTTGCTCTCCTGTAATTTGACCTCAAGTCGTCCGTTTCGCAGGGAAGTTCAGATATGAATCACCATCAGGCGCGTCCCGGGAAAATATAAGGCTCAGTTCGAAACAATAAGTGGAGGCCTAACATCTATCGGCAAAAACAAAAAAATGGCAAATATCAATATATTACAAAGTATAGCAATATACACCAATAATTATACTTGTTGTCTAACTATCACTTGAAAAGCGATATTCTTTTAGCATTCTTTGAAACAAAATCTTCAATGATATATTCATAATCAATCTTCTCCAGCATGCTACTCTCAAGTGCTATTAATGCCAGTGCATTAAGTCTTTCTTGTGTCACTGTAGTTCGCAAGTTGGAACAATTACACTAGATCAATTTGTGTACAAAGACAATACACAAAAGATTATTAACTAAATAAAATAGGGGATGGGCATGGAATTTACCAGGCGGTGATCTCCGTCTGGCGTCTCTCGATCTGGGTCCGGCCGACAGCCGGCTGGGATTGCGACTAGGTCTCGACTCTCGAGCGACGAACAACAGCGAGGACGAGGAACAAGTCCAAGCGACGAAGCCACGAAGGGTTATGAACTTACGTGAAGAAGAATCGCCGGCCACAAACTTTTCTCAATTTTAACAGAGGATAATCTAGCAAGAAGGAATTATAGAATGTTAGTAAAGTTTGTTGTTTTTGTATAAACTTGAAACCATCCAACATCTTTTCTTTGATTGTCATTATGCTCGTTTTCTCTGACGTGCAGTTCATTGGGTGTTTGGTATTATCCCTCCAACAAGTGTATCTCACTTATTTGGGGATGGTCCAAATTGAGCCGCCGCAAACACAATTTGCTTGTTTTGACAGGAGCATCGCCCCTGGGCAATCTGGCTCACAAGAAATGATTTCGTTTTTAACAAAAGCCAAAAACAAACTTTTTTGCAGGTACTGTTCCGGGGGACATGTTGGCTCCGATTCTGGACTCAATTACAGTGCTTGGATGAGTACAAGACTTCCATTTTGGAGGCATGCCGGCTTATAGAGTATAGTGCCATGTTTCTATTTGCTTATCATGGGTGGAGTTTCTCTTATCGCATTGGACTTTAGGATTGGTGTGCTAGTTTTATTTTTAGCGTGAGTTTGTAATAATTGGTCTAATTCTTTCTCCCAGAGAAACGATGAAGCCGGAGCTTTTGTTTCCATTATTAAAAAAAAGGTCACGAGCTGACCATCGTGGACTCGTGTGGTGCTTTTCTCCTTAAGGAAGTAGTAGGCCACGTTTATGGGAATGTAGCTGATTTACTAATTAAAACAAAACCTAAAATTATTATATATACTTAGGATACTTTGTAAATTTAGGGGCCGGTTCTGTCGCACAGCCCGCACGGACCCAGGACGCAAAGGATTGCTTTAAAAACCATAGTACAGAACGACCAGTATATATGGTCTAGATCAAACGTGATAGATAAAAAAACAGTTTTAGAACAGTAGCAGTAAATGACGATAGGATATGCTTACTCAAGTACTTCCTTGTACTGTAATACAATACATTCTAAAAATTTTAAAATAAATTAAGAGAAAACATAAAACACACATGTACATTCATTTCATTTTCTAATCAGACGTTATCATCAATGTGATTAATGATGATTGGTTGATAAATGAAAGTATTTAATGTAAAATTGGTTTTTGTCCTCTAGAATACATTATATTTAAGAATAAATTTTAAATACTAAAATCCACTATATTACAGGACGGATGGAGTATTAACCAACCTCGTCTAATTGCTTTGTTCAGTCCCCGGCATTAAGGGCAGAACCAAAGGGGAAGCCACCATCATTAGTCTCAAAGCATCTTGAACAGTTTCCTAATAACACTTCTCATCCCCATTAAACTATCATATTAAAGAAGATGAAGTTATTTTATTGCATCAATGGTCACTCAATAGTCCTCTCTCTTTTTTACAAAAAAAACCCTCCCCTGGAATAAACGGGAGTTGCATCTCCGCTAATAGCCGGACCTCACAACGGCTCCGTTCGCGTGCCCTTAAACCCGGCTTGATCCGCTTCTTTTTTCATCCGGAATAGTGTTTTCCTCTCACAAATTCCTCCAAATTCATCCAGATTTCTACAGATTCCTCCAAGCGAACGAGGCCGACAACTGTCAGTCTTCCCTTTGCCAAAAACTGACCCCTTCAGTATATATATAAAAAAACTAACCCCTTCGCCATCGCGGCCGTTGGAGGGATGCCTACATCTGTTGTTCGCCGTTGCGCTCGTCCCTTTGCCCGGCACGGCGGCACCGAGCATCGGTCGAAGCTCGTCCACCGCTCACGCCGGTCTACTGAAGCTTCGCATGACAGCTGCCTGAGACTTGAGTCTCAACGACGCCCTTCTTCGAGCATGACATTGGTGATCTGCAAAAAAAACACCCCCTAATAATTCCAAAAAAAATCAGGCTAGTTCCATTACTATTTTACTGCAGGAGTTATATTGAGAAACAGTTGGTGATGCTCTAAAACTGTAAAACTATGACACGATATAGAATGGAGCAAAAAGAAAACCTTGAAACTCAAGTCACCATTACTGTTGCAGCTCCTATCTCGGTGCGCCATGGAAATGCTCAAGCTCTGCCTCCAAGCAAAGCCAAGCTGCCCACCCGCTGGCACGTGAGTTCCGGGGCCGTACTCCGTGCCAACAGTCGTTGGCAGCCGTTGGTCGTTTGATTGGCGAGCACACGAGCTTCAGCTGATTCCACCCACTAGCTCTCGGTCTCGGTCAGTCCCACGCGCCAACCCAAGTCCGAAGTGCAGTCCCCAACTCCGTCCACCGACAACTACCCGGCAACACTCCACTGGATCGGAGCTCTCTCAATCAGCATCCGGCGCGTCCACGACAGCCCACCGCCACCCATGACTCCTCTGCCGCTCCGCCGCCTCCACTTCCACATCCTTCTCGTGCTCCTTGCAGCATCAGCCGCGCAGGCCACCGACCCCAGCGGCTGCAGCGGGGGCGACCGCTGCGGCGATCTCGTCCTCCCCTACCCTTTCCATCTCAACTCTTCCTGTGTCAGCGCCGGAGCCAACTCCTCCCTCTTCCGCCTCTCCTGCAACGCCAGCGCCACCCTCACCCTCGCGCTCGGTTCCGCCACATTCCGGGTCCTCGCCTTCCTCCCCTCAGGATCGCTCCTCCTCGACTACGCCCCTGCGTCGCCGTCCCCATGCGACGCGGCCTACGCCCCCTTCTCACGACCGACCTCCCCGGCGGCTGCGCTCGACGCCGCGCCCTTCCTCGCCATTACGCCGGCCAACGTGCTCCGCCTCTACGCCTGCGAGGACTCGTCTCTCTGCCGCGCCGGCTGCGATGATGTCGCGACGTGTGGGGGCAAGTCTGGGTGCTGCTACCCGCTCTCGGACTGCAGCGTCTGGAAGCCCGGGAAGGGGCTGGGCGTTTTCGCCGACTACGGGTGCCGGGGTTTCTCGAGCTGGGTCAAGAACCGGTCGGCGCCAGCAGGGGCAGCAAGCGGGGTTGTGAGGGGGATCGAGGTCGAGTGGGCCGTGCCGAGGGGCAGCGCCATGGCAAAATGCGCCGATGGCGCGGCGCTCGTGAATGCCACGGCACTGCACGACGGCGTGCGGTGCGCGTGCGCTGCGGGTCTCGTCGGCGACGGCTTCGCACAGGGCACAAGTTGCTCCAAAGGCACATGTAAGTACAAAAGTGTACACGGTTCTACTCGTGCGATCGATCTGCCACGTCGACCTTTCAGTCTTCAAAACACGTATGCATATTTGTGTACACAGCCTGCAGCAATGGTGAGCATGCAGATGACGGCAGGGAGTGTTGCCAGGGACGATTCTGCTCCAAGAAGGCAGTCGTCCTTGCTGGTACGCGGTCACTGCACATTGCCCTGATGATTTGATCAGCCAGATACTACTACGTGCGAACACCCTTCCTTCTGTTGTGTTTGCTGATTTCGTCTGCGTTCACAGGATTTTTCGTTTCGCTGTTCTTCCTGGCGGCGGCAGTCTCGTTCTGGCTGTTCCTGAGACAGCCTTCCAAGGACAGCCGGTGGGACCTCGACCCGGCGTGCATCCCCAAGATCCTCCGGAGCGCGTGCGACGCGAAGCAGTTCACGTACGAGCAGCTGGAGGAAGCAACGAAGAGGTTCGACAGCGTGAGAAGGCCGTGGACACCGTCGACGGCACGGTCCACGCCGGCGTGCTCGACGACGGCTCCCTGGTCGCGGTGCAGAGGATCGGTTACGAGACGCAGGGGAAGCTGAGGCTGGTCCTGGACCGGATCGAGCTCCTGTCCGAGATCTCTCACCCAAACATCGCCCGCGTCGTGGGCTTCTGCCTCTACTCCAGCAACGCGCTGCTGCTGGTGCACGAGCACTTCGCCGGGGGCACGCTGGAGGAGCACCTGCGCCAGATGAAGTGCCGCGTCCTCAGCTGGTACCACCGGGTCAACATCGCCATCGAGCTCGCCAGCGCCCTCACGTACCTGCAGGCGCACGAGACAGCCCCGACCTTCCTGTACGACCTCAGGTCCAGCGAGATCTTCCTGGACACCGACTTCGCCGCCAAGATCGCCGACTACAAGCTCACGAGGCCGGCGACGTACTACTCCGCGTCGTACGACCAGGATGTCGTGTGCAACTTCGGCCACCTCCTGATCGAGCTACTGACGGGGCTGAGGCAGCAGATCCCGCTCGACTCGGTCGCGCCCAAGTTGAGGGAAGGGAGGCTCCACGAGGTCATCGACCCGACGCTTCTGTCGGGAAAGCAGCTCCCGGCCTCGCACGATGAGGTGAGGAAGGTGTTCGAGCTCGCCGTCCGGTGCCTGTCCAGCGCCGAGAACGGGCTCTGCATGCTCGCCGTCGCCAGAGAACTGATGCACATTCTGAGGGACAACAACGGTAGCACAGAGGCGATGGTGAAGACGTCAATGGAGCCTCCCGTCGCTTCAGCGCCTCCTTCTTAGATCGGATTAGGGTTAGGCTGTAGATGGAAGAAAGACGACTCAGGTGAACCCCGTGACGCGAGCCCCGGCCTCCCACCTCCTTTATATTGTGCTGTGCGACGGGAGCTCACCAACTATAGAACGGTTGGGCGCCCCCGATCAGGGCGCGGTTCAAGGCCCCGACTCGATCGTTGGACCGAGTCGGGAGAAGATCAACCTAACATTCTTCCCCTTTATCTCACCCTACGACTTAAACTTAAAATCATTTTCTTTTTTTCCATTACATCACAGATTAGCGCATAGAGCGTGCCTCGTCACAATATTTAGTACCATTGGATTAACAGCTACAACACACATCTCTGTTTTGAAACAGATTCTCAACTAGACCCTTATTGTCCAGGAATCATAAGCTTTTTCTTAAACCCATGCCGGCTAAGTATTCTCTGAACACGTTGGGTGGTAAGCCTTTTATAAGCGGATACGCGAGCATCTTTTCTGTACTTATGTGCTCAAGTCTAATTATATGATCCCGAACTTTGTCTTTCACAATATAATACTTTATGTCAATATGTTTGGCAACATCACTTGACTTATTGTTGTGAGCATAACATACTGCTGGATTATTGTCGCAGTACAACTTGAGTGGCTTATGTACGTCGTCTACCAATTTCAACCCGGGCATAAATTTTTTCAGCCAATTTACCTGCCCCGTGGCCTCATAACACGCTATAAACTCGGCATACATCGTAAACAATGTAGTGACGGTCTGCTTGAAACTTTTCCCCGATATAGCTCCTCCTACAAGAGTAAATATATATCCTGACGTGGACTTTCTATCATCTCCTGCATAATCTGAATCTTTATAGCCCTCTATGTGTAGGGAATCAGATCTTCTGTACGTTAGTATGAGGCCTTTTGTGCCTTGCAAGCAACGCAAAACTTTTTTTACCGGTCTCTAGTGTTCTATTCCTGGATTATTTTGATATTTGCCAAGTAACCCGGTAACAAACGCTATATCAGGGCGTGTACACACTTGAGAATACTGTAAACTTCTGACAGCTGAAACATATGGAATTGCTTTCATTTGATCGATCCATATTGGTTCCTGGGACATTGGAATTCCCAAATCTATCGTCCTTGACTATGGGAACAAGTGAAGTCTTATAATTTTGTATACTATATTTCTTTAGAATTTTTTTAAGTATGCCTTTTGTGATAATGTAAAATCTCATTTCTTCTATCTCGGTGAATCTCTATTCCTAAAGTGAACGAAGCTTCACCGAGATCCTTCATATCAAAATTCGAGGACAAAAACTTCTTCGTTTCTAGTAGTAGATTAACATCACTACTAGCGAGTAAGATATCATCCACATACAAGATTAGAAAAATGTATTTTCCATTCTTGAACTTTGCATAAACGTAATTGTCCTTTATATTTTCTTGGAACCCAAACTTAATTATTATACTATCAAACTTTAAATACCACTATCTTGATGCTTGTTTTAATTCGTAAATAGATTTCTTAAGACGGCATCCCATACGTTCTTTTTCTTTCACAACAAAACCTTTTGGTTGTGCCATGTAAATATTTCCCTCGAAATCCCCGTTTAGAAACACCGTCTTTACATCCATCTGATGTAATTCTAAATTATAATGTGCTATAAACGCCATTATAATTCTAAAAGAATTCTTACATGAGACTAGAGAAAATGTCTCATTGTAATCTATGCTTTCTCTTTGTGTGAAGTCTTTCGCCACAAGTCACGCTTTAAATCTTTCTAAATTCCCTTTGAAGTCATATTTAGTTTTGTAGACCCATTTACAGCCTACTGTCTTGGCTACTTTAGGAATTGTTTCTGAGTCCCAAACACCGTTAGTATTCATCATCTCATTTCATCTTGCATGGCTTCAAGCCACTTTAATGAGTGAGCGCTTTTCATGGCTTCTTCAAATAAGGTGGGATCACTCTCTATTTGAAATTCTTCACATTCATAGACTTCGTAGTCATCAGGAATGACTAGTTTCCTGACTCTTTTAGATCTTCTAGTGAACTTGTTAGTTGACGCTTGTTCTATATGAGGCTATTGTTGCTCTTCCTCATGTGTGACAACAGGTTCTACAAGATCCTGAAGGACAGGTTCCTCATGTTCATTCATTGTCATCATGGGAGAACTAACAACAGGTGCTGTTACTACAGTATCTTGCATTGTTGGTGCAGCAACAACATGTAGCGTGGAGAATGGCTCTTGAACCATCGGAGTAAGCACATGTACCTGCTTCTCCTCTAGGTTAATTTCTCGCACTACCATGCTCCCCTTGATCAACTCTTCCTCCAAGAACACAACATGTCTTATTTCTACCAACTTCGTATGTCTGTCAGGACAATAGAAATGATAACCTTTTGACTTTTCTGGATAGCCAATGAAATGGTAACTGACTGTCTTGAAGTCTAGCTTTCCTATGTTTGGGTTAAAGACTTTAGCCTCAGCTGGACAACCCCACACACATAAATAGTTAAGTGAGGGTTTCTTTCCTGTCCACAACTCATATGGTGTTTGGGGCACCGATTTGCTTGGCACTCGATTAAGAATATGAATGACGGTTTTTAATGCCTCCATCCATAAACTTATCGGTAGAGTAGAGTAACTTATCATACTTCTCACCATATCTATTAAGGTACGATTGTGTCTTTTAGCTACTCCATTCTGCTGAGGCTCGTCCGGTGTAGAGTACTGGGCAATTATGCCATTTTCCTGTAAGAAGCAGAGGGTGCCAACAAGCTTATGGTGCGGAGATGTGGGATGAGGCCATTGTCGCGGAGTGAGGAGAACCAAGGCGTGTGCAAGAAGAGGAGCACAGTGATCCCCCACCGAAGTTCGGTGATGGTCAATTGGAGTAAGAGCAACAACATTATTTCAATAAGAGGTAATCTCGAGTGGATCATCTTTTTCCTTCTAATTTTTGGAAAATAGAGGAGGAGTTGTGTGTATAGTGTTGTGAGGGAGCAGAAGAAAGGAATTGCTTTAGTCTGCTTGTGCCAAGTGGCAAATCTAAGATGCAAATTAGGAGTGGAGGGCCTCCCTACTTCTCTCTCCTTTTCTTCGCCCCCTTTCTCCTCTTTTTTCTTCCTCTTTCTCCATTTCCCCTTCCTCCTCTTTAACCATGTATAAAAATTGTTGGGAGTGCATTGTGGTAGGGTGGCTTGAGGACTCCATTGTCTGCACAGGAGTAGTGGGCTCGATCCCCTAACCCCCATGCTAGATCTGCCCGTGTTTGTGTGTGCTTGTTACTTTGTTAGTAGAGAGTAGAGTTGTGCTGAATTAGTAGAACACATGGAGAAGTGAAAAGGAGAGTACAATTATTGTGGTGGAGGAGCTCTTTAAGGCACAATATAGCAGTTGTCTTGTAGAGGAATGAGAGTTGCCATTGCCAATAGTGAAGAGGAGGTGAGCCTGTTGTTTGTGCTGTGTCGGTTGTGATTCAAAGAGAAGGCAAAGGCATTTGCTTGTTCGTTTAGGAAAAAACAAGCTGCATGCTGTTGTTGGGGAAGAAAACCAAGAGTTGGAGTATTGCCAATGAAGGTGGAGTTTTTTTCCTTAGTATGTTACAATCACAACCTTAGCTAGTAAAACTCTAGAGCATATGCATGCTAACAAATAGTAACAACCTAATGTAATCTATACTTAGCTCTAATATTAAAGAGCATAAATTCAATTTTCCATATATTATTAATCTTTGCACGTAGTATTTAAAGGATTAGTTTCTTTGGGAGCAAATTTAAGGATTAGTTATGCGATTTGTTATCAGCTGATATTCTTGTGTTGTTCATTGTTTTGGGCCTGAGCTTCTAGACTTTGCTAGGTGGGCATCTTTTTATATTTTTCTGTCCGTTCCGTCATATATTTCTTTGGCATCCGTTCCACTACATGAGGCTTTGAACATATGTGGGTCTATTTGTTAGGGATTCTTTTTCAATTTCACAAAGCTATTTTCAGCTTCTCCATAGAAGCTGTTTTTTCAGCTCTTCTCTAAGCACAGGAACCAAGATCAAGCCAAAAATACTAGCTTCTCTCAGTTTTCTCTCTGCTATCTTCCCTGAGAAGTTGTTCTACCAAATATTTTTTAAACAACTTTAGGTTCACTAGTGAAGTTACTTTATGGAGCCAAAGTAAAAAAACTACTCACGAGTGAAGCTAAGCTGTACCAAACAGATCTATATAGTAGGACCTAATGAGTGAGAGCCAACACTACCATACCACCTCGTTAAACCAACAGTTATGTCTTGTGAGAAATCTTTTTCTACATATAATATCTTATTTACACCGGTGATCCAGTGTCATAACAATCCATCGCTACATGCAAAGGAGTCTGCAAGCTCCATGATGGTGGCCGTATGTGATCTTTTTCAAAACCCAGTACAAACTACTCCCTCAATCTCTGAATAAATATATTTGTAGTTAACAAGTTTGTCTATAAATAAATTAATCTTTAGGAGGTTGAATGATCCACTAGTCCATTTATTTTTCTCAAAGTCTCCTTGCATTTATTGCTTTCTTCCCATCTCCCAATCCAATTAGTGTGCTATTGGAACAATCGTCAATTAGTGTGAAACTACTCCAGTTAACTTAACGAAGGGTAGCATGGTCTTTTCTCTATCATACTAATTTGTCCTTGGTAGGAATCTATTTATGTAAGGACAGAGAGAGTAGAAATTAACATAATTGCACGTACCTCGATGAATACACATGTACATCCCACCTCTATAAGGGCCTGTTTAGATGGCGAATTTTTTTTGCAAAATGTACTGTAGCACGTTTCGTTGTTATTTGGCAATTAGTGTCCAATCATAGTCTAATTAGGCTTAAAAGATTTGTCTCGTGAATTTCGTCTAAACTATATAATTAGTTTTATTTTTTATTTATATTTAATGCTTCATGCATGCGTCCAAAGATTCGATGTGACGGGGAATCTGAAAAATTTGGCAAAATTTCCTGGAACTAAACTGGACCTAAGCACTTTTAAAGAACTAAATTAGACCGACAAATCTCGAAATTAACAAAGTGCCTTGCTATTAACGAGCATGTAGCCATCACTAAAGGAATAGTGCTGTTAAATTCTAAAATTAATCAAAAAAATACAAGCACACGTGTTAAGTCTACTATAGCAAATCAATGAGTGCTATCTTTCTAATGAAGAACTCGGTAATGGCGAAACCATAGATGGGATTAATATTTAACCCCTCGAGATTCATCAAGTACACACATAAACAAGTCACGTGAAATTTAGTACTCTTTTATCTAATTACAACGCATGGACATATTTGGTATAATATTAAACGGATGAACACATTCATGGTCCTTCATTCTTTCTCGAGACCGCACGAGTTGGAGTAATGTGTTCAGGCATAGTACAGAGTCTGACCTCAAAGACAGAATGCATGATATAATTACTGGATGAATCTTTAAGCCTCCTATGACCATATGAGTTAGAGTAGCACGTAAGTCCAATTCTAAAATGAATTGGAATATGCATTTGATATGATCATAGGATTCAAACTCCAAGATGAATTCGAATGTATAACGTGATTATTAGATAAATCTTCAAGCCTACTCCTCCGTCCGAAAATAAGTGCCGCTATGGTATTCGTGCCTGTCAAAAATTTTAAAGTTTGACAAGGTTTGTAAAAAATATTAGTAACATTTATATCTCCAAACAACTTTATTACGAAAATAGATTCAACGATTTATCTAATGATACTAATTATGTACTATAAATATTAATAATTTTTATATGTATTTGGTCTAAGTCAAAAGTATTTAACTCATCGGAAAGCGAGAATGACACTTGCTTTGGGACGAAGAGAGTATGCACTCATAAATTAGAGTTGCGTGAGTCTAGACACTATATAGAGTCAGATTTCAAGACAAATTAAAATGTGTGTTACAGACATTGAATAAACTCCTAACCACAAGTGATCTATTAGGTGATTATATGTAAGAAAACATATATTCCATTACAAACGCACGTTATATAAGTTTTTTTTTTTTTGAAACTGGATAGCACTTCCATTAAGTTTATTACTAGAGCATCTCTATTGTCTGCTTCGTTAACGCAGCCGCTGCCGGCAACGAGTCGGAGACCCTCGGCCCAAGGCCGAAAGGGGAAGAGGGATTTATTACGTATACTACTTGGTGGACCGAGACCCTCGGCCCATAAAAGCCCAATCAAGAGAAACGGCAGGTTAATTCCCTCAAAAAAAAAAAAACTCCAAGTCTTAATATTTCTCAAAAAAAAAAAAACTCCATGTCTAAATCTTGCTAAAAAAATCTGCAAGTCTAAATACATCTGATAAATATAGTAAAGATGGTGAATTAAAAAACAAAACAAAACAAAACTGAAAGCACATCAAGCGGACAGTTCAATCTGCATTCATTATTTTGCTCACAACTACTCTCTCCATCCCAAAACCAAAACAGTATATATTGCTGGTCGAGAAATCAAACTTCTTCGTAAGCGAGATATTTATATTTATTTATTTTGGTACGGAGAAAGTACACTGTGACAACAGTAAATAATGGCACGACAGCGATGACGTTGCGTCTGTATCAACCAGGGACAGTGACGGAATGGGACGAATCGATCTGGTAGCTCTTGGACGCTATCGATCCAGAACGTCGCGTTGCTACCGGGCGAGCTCCCAACTGCAATGCAACCCCATCTGGCCATCTCAGCTCCCGTGTCAAATCTTGCCTGGATAGTGGATGCCTCTTCTCTTTGGTCGGCTGATCCTTAGCGCGACGCGACAGCAACGATTGTCGCCGCTTTTCCCTAACACAGGTCTCCTTCAGGACGGGGGCACTGCCTGCACGGCCCGCATTTGCGATTCTGTGTCACATAACCATCGGATTGCACGACACTAGGCAGTAGGAGCCTGACGCTGCACTTGCATCCGATCCGCGCATTACCTGCCGTTGGGGAGGGTTTGGAGAAATCCAAGCTTGTCCAAACCCAAACCCATCTTACTGATCCCCGTTCCTCACCCTTCCCAATTTCACCCATATCCATTTGCCCAAATCCAATGAACAATGGGGAAACCAATGGATAAGTACACACCGTTAAAAAAAAATGCTCAACGCTTATCCGCTGGCTAGCCCTTCGCCCACGCACGTCCTCCCTCGGTGACCTGCTCGTGCGGGAGTGTGCCGCGCGCCGCGCCTCTCAGTCGCCCCAGCAAGCAAGCAAGCATGCATCGACGCTGCCACCGCTATTGGCCATGAAGGAGGTGGAGGAGGTGGCCACCAGCATAGTGGTGGCCGTGCTATCCGCGTACGCGCCAAGAGGCTGCTGCTCAGGAACGCGGACTTCAGCCCGGCGCTCCACGACAAGTGCGCCGCGTGCCTTGCGACGGCCGCGGATGCAGAGGACGTCACGGCGGCGCCCCCTTGCTGGACACCAAGGTGCATCGAGCGCGGAGGACGTCGCAGCGGAGCTCAGCATTGACAGCATCGTGCATGGAGCACCTCGCCGCCGATGGCGCCAGGCACAAAGGTCCGCACGTTCCGCAACTTCATCGGCGTCCTCATCGTCGTCGCGCCGCTCAGGCAACCTGGAGCCGTCAGTGTTTGACTGATATCCACCAATTGGCCGGGCCTTGATCCGCGTCCTGATCGCGGGCGCCTAACTGTTCCATAGATGGTGGGCTCCATCGCACAGCGCCATAAAAACAGAGGTGGAGACTGGGGCACAAGGCACGAGGTTCATCTGAGCCGCCGGACGCCCCACTATAGTCTCTAAACCCTAAGCCGATCTAGTGAGGGAGCGTTGCTAGTGACGAAAAAACCGCCACCGGCCACCGCCGCCTCTGCACCGCCGCCACTGCGTCCGCGACTTCACCGTCGGACCTCACCGCGCCACCGACAAGCACCCCTATGGCAAGCTCGTCTTCTACGAAGACGGCCGATGGTTTGCACCTCCACAACCCTTCTCTCTTTCTCTCTGTTTCTCGTACTAGCATGTTCTAGGGTTTGCTATTCAATCAGATGTCAGTATGTATGCTAGATCTATAGCTACATGATCCTGTTATTCTATCAATGGCATCTGTTGCCTAACTAGACGTAGATCTAGCTTATCGGGGTAGAAAACTGAGTAAAAGAGTAGAAGGAAGGGATTCGATTTGAAGAAAAGGTTCGGACCCCAAGCCAAAACCCTAACCCTAGAGTAAGGATAAAGGAGGGGAGGACCTACCCGGA